AGCCCATGATTGCTCAATTCCGACATTGTTAAGGCACTCAAATGTCCATCAAACGCTATATGATCAAGGGAAACTCTCCGAGCCGTCCGATTAAAATGGTTCATATTCATGCATTAATTGCACTCAAAACTCTATAAATAGAGTCTCACCCCTCACATGAAGGGGGAGAGGCTTAAGAGAGAACTTGAGGCTTTGAGAACGAGCTCAAGTTCAAGATCATCCTCGCCGTCGTCGATCGCCGTCGACCACCACTGACCGTCGACAACCACCGTCCGTCATCAGCCACCGCTGACCTCTGTCGACCACCGTCGGACACCGCTAATCGCCGCCAGTCACCACTAACTTCCGTCAACCATCGCTTACTAGACGTCATCAGTTGACGTTGTAAAGTGGAAAGCTAGCTACCATTTCCCGCCTGTGGGACAAGAGGCATTTGTAATCATCAACTTATAGTAGATTTTTACCCCGTGGTCAGACCCCATGGTTTTTCCCCTTTTTACGGGTTTTCCACGTAAAAATTTCTGGTGTGATCACAGCTCGATTCATTTTATCTGAGTGTGTGCTGAATTCTCGTGCAACGCTAAGACGATAATCCATTACTCTACCGCCACGAATTTTCTAGCACGCATCTATTAGAATAAAAGTAAAAAAATTATTTCTTTAGCAACTTAATTTTCGTGAGCACCTCCAGCATTGATAAAGCATATTGATTTCAAGAGTCATCCAGCAATATTCATAGTAATTCTGTAGAATAAGATGATAGTGTTAAAAGATGAAATTACTGTTTAAAATGACCGCGAATAAACTACAAAGAAACAAGCCATATGGCTGGTAAAAATTCGTAGAAAAACTTCTTTGAAATAAAAACGAACTTACAGCATCTATTGAAGGCAAAGCTTTGGGATAATTTTGAGGCAACCCAATAAACAAAGTATGCTTCCTTTCATTTTCATCTCTGTCAACAAAGTGAGATACAATAAGATTGTCAACATTATTAACCAGAAGAACCTATTCAGGAATATGTCATATGCCACAAGATATATAGGCATGATTTGCAGTTTATTTTCAAAAATTTTGAGGTTTACAGCTATTTCTCAACAAGTGTCATTCCACATTTGCTACTCAATACTAACATTAAAGTCTCTTTCTCCTTAAGCAAGGAATATGCCTAAATTTGTTTATCTTCCAAATGTTTCCACTTGTTGCACTGATTATCACATCTCCAATGCCCATAATATTCAAGAGCTCGTCATCAACAAGAAATATTTTACCATAATTATTTGTTCAGTGGTTTATTATTAGATTTTTATTACAAGATAAATGAAAGGACACTAAAACTCATATCCACGTCTCAATTGAATTGTCTGCAGACTCTGCACTGAGTACGATGCATCATGAAAACCTTCCAAGGTAACATTCACTGTCTCTTTTCTTGGCTTTTGGCCACGTTCAAGCCACTATCTTCTGCATTGTTTCAACATGTGCCCAAATTAATGGCAAAAATAGCATCCACTAGGGCTTTGTGATTCGTTTGAAAATTTTTGCCGCCATATTGTTTCTTTATTTTTTGTTGCCGACATTCAAAAACCGACTCTTTTTATCAATATTTAAAATAGAAAATTATGTAATTTCATCTTTCTCACACCGTCTAATATGCTGATTAGGTATAAAATTTCTAACATGGTCAAGTTTCATTAAGGACAATCAATATGAATTATTGATGGCTGTGACAATGTTGTCCCAACTCTCAGAGAGTAATGAGAGCAAGCTAAAGAAAATAAATCTCGTCATCAAACTTGAAGTGCATAAAATTAAGTTGTCAGGGCTAAGCTGAGATAAAAAAAGAAAAATAATTGAAGACTTGAGCCAGAAAATATTGAGCTAGATATAAAAATACAGTGTCACAAAAGCCACGTATCCAATTTATTGGATGGACATTAGATTTAGTTAAGAGAATAAGTCCATCATCAATTGCATATAAATTAGTTGAGGTATCTACCTAGACATATACTAATAGTCAACCTTAAAAATTGACATTAACTTTGGGTTGAATGAGAGTTTATCAACTAGTGAATTGAACTCAACTCAAACCTCATTTTACCATCCCTCGTGAGGGCTATCAAAATAGGTAGTTAAGTTAGGATCAAGTAATCTACATGTTCTTTGATAACTCTCTTATCATTTAGAAGTGCAGTAGAGCAAATAGTCCATGCCACTGAAATATGATTAAGGATGCTCAAGGAAAAAAAAGATATCCTAACGTTTAAGGAATAATCTGCATTTGATGGTTATGAAAAACATAGCATCTTATATACTCCTAGTACTTACATCCTTCAATTTGCTTAAGATTTTGAATAATGCCTTCCCATCTCTTAATAGATTGGATCTAGTCACCCGAATTATTCACTCAACAGCATAAGTTAAATATAACACTATGTGTAGTTCAAACTAGAAAGAAAACAATATTTCTATCCATAAATTCTTAAAATCATATAATTTGTCAGAAATTTCTTATTTTAACAGAGTTATTACAGTACTAAATTTTGAAAAATATATCAAATCAATGTGGAACGATTAAATAAGAAGTAGCTATTATAACCAAGGACATGGTACAATTTTGAAAGAAAAAAGAAAAACAAAACTCCAAAAAGAATGATTATGGACCACTTACAAGATACAAAAACTGAGAGAAGACAGATCATTTTCCAAATGTAGTAGACGTTCCCAGCCAACCTCTTCTATCTGAAGGTATAATATTTTTAACTTGTGATGTGATAAAACTAAACCAAATTCTGGTTTACTGAGTAAAAAAAAGGAAAAGTTAGGCTGGAATTATTATTTGTATTGATAAGTAAATCATAGGAGAAAATAAAAATCAATTAAATGAAACCCAATGGTGAAAAATAGAACAAATGTGTTGAGTATTGTGGAGCCCGGTTCACTCCCTTAAATTGGCGGTTTCGGCACTTACAGAAATTATTCAAATTTTATTTCTTTTATTAATTTTCCTTTGTTATCCCCTTGCCACCTCTCTCTCCTATGATTCCCTGCCTCCTGTTTTCGCGAGAAACAAAACCAACGCATTCGTGACCCATCTACGGGATTGAGGAGGTAGCAGGCGGTGGCAATCAGGGAAGAAGAAGGTACTACAGGCGGCAAAGCGTTGTGAGCAGTAAAAAGAGTCGCGAGCTGCGTAAAGCAGGAGTCGCGGGTGGCGGCAATCACGGGCAGAAGAAGAAAGAAAAAGTTGTGTTGAGAAACTATGTAATTCTTCAAGTAATAAAATCATCTACAACTCTGTGGATGTAAGTTTTTTGTCGAACCACGTATATCTATCTGTCGTGTGTGATTCTCTCTTTTCATATTTTTTCTCTTTATTGTCGTCGTTTCCACAACAATTGGTATCAAAGTCGTGGTTTAGATCTGAAGGAAAGCGATGGTTGCAGACGAAGTGAAGGTATCAAGGATCAAGAAGTTTGATGGCATGAATTTTAGTTACTGGAGAATGCAGATAGAGGACTGTCTTTAAGGAAAGAAACTTCATCTTCCGTTATTGGGAAAACGATCATAAAAGATGGATGAGGTTGAATAAAATCCGTTGGATCGACACGTTCAAAGGGTTATTCGATTAACTCTATCGAAATTAATTGCATACAATGTTATAAAGGAAAAAACAATTGCAAATCTCATGACAGTTCTGTCAGGTATGTACGAAAAGCCGTCAGCGAATAATAAGATAAACTTGATGAAAAAAATTACTCAACTTAAAAATGATTGATGATACATATGTTGCACAACATCTGAATGATTTTAATACTATCACAAATCAATTATCATCTGTTGAGATTGAATTTGATGATGAGATACGA